ACCACCATTTCCATATCCTCCATTGCCTCCTCCAAGACCACCATTTCCATATCCTCCATTGCCTCCTCCAAGACCACCATTTCCATAACCACTATTACCTCCAAAACCTCCATTTCCATATAACCCACTGCCTCCTATACCACCATTTCCACGGCCATTACTTCCATATCCTCCACCACCACTACCTCCACTTCCATATCCTCCACCGCCACCACCAGCACCACCTCCACTTCCATATCCACCACCACCACTACCAATATTACCGAATCCTCCATTCCCATATCCTCCCCCACCTCCTGAGCCACCACTTCCATACTCTCCATTTCCTCCGCTGCTTCCAAAACTATTGCTCCCACCCCCATAGTTTCCACCGCCATTGAAACCACTATTAAAGCCACTGGTTCCACTTCCATATCCTCCAAAACCATTATTGCGTCCACCAAAGCCATCGTTATTATCATTGGGACCACAATTTATGGCGCCTCCATTTTGACTTCCAGGATATCTTGTGTTTCCGTTGCTACCCCTCCCGCCTTGACCTTGGCCAGGGCTATAACCATTGGCACCAGAACCGCCATTTGGTCTTCCGGACCTTCCTGCAGAGGCAGGTCCACCATATTTTCCACTTGAAGATGAATAACTTCCTTGTCCTCCTGACTGTTCATATTGCTGACAAATACATAATCTCAATAGACATACCACAATAATTAATTTCTGAAACAAAAATAAATTATTTGTTTATTTATTTTCATACTCATTTATATGGTAATAGTAATATTAATGATGTACCAAAATTTTATATAGACCAATAAAACGCATTATAAAATATAAAATATAATTGTCGGTAATAATCTGTAATTATATTATTAATATAACCTCAAGTTACATAACTAATTTATAGAATTTATAGAATGTTAAATGTAGCGTATTCAAAAATTCGTAATTTATTAATTTACATTTTGGCTTGTGACTTTATCGAATATTCTATATTATACAAAGAAAAATCATTAGTGGTATACTTAGGATTTTTTCTTAGGGGTGATATGTATTGATTCAGAACTCAGTGACTTAAAAGGACTTCACTCCAAGATACCTTGCAATCATAATAACTTAATAACATTATAAATACAAAATACTTTGGCAAAATTATCTATACATAAATATTTTTATATATCTAACTTATAATACTTATTAGTTATTATCATTGACTATGTACACATTTTATTGAATATATATGTAGCATCTAAATGATATTGCATTTTTTTATCAAATTACTTAATATTTATACGTAGTTTATAATATTATAATCAATAATACCTAAAACACAAATTTCATCTTTATATTTTATACATAAAATTACTCATCAATAATTAAATCTAATAAAATTTTGATATTCCGGTAACATATGGCAATAAGGCCAACCCATTTAACCTATTCTTACTCATTTGGCTGATTGTACTATTCCTATTTTTTAATTTTAATGTCCTTGATAAATTTTTTATAATATGTATTTTATAAATTTAGAATATCGCGTATTTGTTTACCCATATCTAGTATTCAAGACTTGTTGCACCAAAAGTTATCAAAACATATGTACAACATTCACAATTTAAACTATCAAAATATGCAGTTAAAAATTCAAAATGTAGATGAATATATTTTTTTTTAACTGCATAGATGTAAATAATAATTGCATACTTTTAACCTTAAACCTTTTTGTTGAAACTACTCTACTAATTTATATTTTCCTGTTAAGTGTTAAGTGTTGTGTGACAATAAATCACCTATCAACACCTACTCTCGTTTCACACAGTTTACAGAATAAAATTTATTTTCTCAGAACTCGGTTATGTATTGACTTATACGATTATTATTTGATATTTTAGACACTTTTAAAATCACAAAATAAAACAACGTATTTGAAAAATACGCTGAATTATATAGCAAAGACAATAAATATAGTAACACGGTGATACGATAATTACAATACGCGAATATTATCGAGTACTTTTGTCAAAATGTTATAAAGTTTCTAATCGTAATTTTGCCAAATAAAATTAACAACAATAGTTATAATATATCAATAACGAGACCTTCCATCAGTTATTGATAAATAAAGATAATCTTAAAATTTTACATCAAAATAAACTATTTTAGAAAATTTTTTGAACGTTATTCAAATACAATTTTAACGGACAAATGTATGATTATAGACAATTAAAAATATTAAAATGCACTAATATTCTATAAAAGTTCAAATATATACAAATATGACATGTATTTTCAGTATTAAAAAATACTACATCGATGAACAAATATTTAAAAAGTCAACAAGATATTTGTTCTCTCTCTCAGAACCACGCGCAACATAACATTAATTGTATTCATGAAAATTGTTTTTTGTGATTTTTAAGTAATCTTATATTAAAATCATCTATTATAATATGTATAGAGAATAAAATTTTTGTGAGTTTTGTATTCGGTTTTATATTTTATTATTATTTGACTTAAAAAATCAAAAATAAATATTTGTAAATTTAAATGGATAATAAATTGTTTGGATTTTAAAGAAAATTGATATATCTACCCTCAAAAATATTATTCTCTTCAATTTTTGTAACAGCTAATTTTACACATAAGAAAGCATAAAAAAAAATGTATTTAGTGTGTACACGTTTTATATATATTGTATATTTTATGTTATAAGCCGTAAAACTTTATTTTTATTATTTAAAAACAATTTGGCCTGGGTATACTCGTATAAAAGCCTTTAATAACAGGGATATGATGTTTTTATCAAAATAAATTACATACATTTATAAAATTAAAAAAGAAATTTTTTGATTGAAAATAAAATTTTATCACATTTAGTTAATAAGCAATTAGTAATGTACAATGCATTTAAACATTTTATGTCAACAACCAAAATAATAACCAAAATTCGTTGACTTTTACGTTAATATCATCGATATCCTATATACGTAATATTAAGTAATTATTTAAAGCAAAGATGTAGATACCTACAAATGTAATGTACTTAAGTTCACATATTATCTAGTTTAAACTTCATAGTATAAATAAAAATTAAATTAAATATATTTATTTTGAACATTTTATTTTAATGATGATAAATTAAGAAACCTAGAAACTGATATAATAAAAACTTTAAAATCCGTAAAAAGTACGTTTTAAACTTAACAGGTCTCCGCAACAAAAATAAAAATCTATCACATCACAAGAGGTGTCAAATGTACAACAATAATACCCACCTGCAGCGATTGAACGATGGGTAAATTATAAATATTATAATATTCGCAACGGTAACCTAACCTATTGGAATGCCCTAATAATATATACTCGAAGAATTATCATGAGAAGAGTAGAGTATTTGCTTAATAATAATTAAAATAGACAATATACAAAACTCCGTGAAATCAAAAGTACAATATATCAATGGTTTAACCAGCTCAATCTCAACAAAAGAGAAAGAATAGTTATCAACCGCCTCTGAATAAGCCACATAAAGTTAACACATAAGTTTCTTATGGCTAAAGAAGAATTTCCTCAATGTCTAACCAACGGACTCATCTTAACGGTCAAGCACAATAACTAAATGCTTTAAGTACGTAGAAGACGCCATTAAACATAACATTTCATCTAAGATAGACGAAGCTTTAGGTCCCAACACGAAACATATCAACAACATGGTCAATTTCTTAAAAAAACTGACCTGCTCGACCAAATCTAGAAGATAAGGCATCGCAACTTACCCCCATGCGGAACAACCATAAACAATGTATTATTATTAAGTATATCTGTATTTACCTAAATGTATACAATATGCATGTAAAGTTAAAAGTTTAAAAAAAAACTTTAACTAATGGCTTTTGCAGCCGATGTATTTTAAGATCTCTATATATATATATAAAAAGAAAATAATCAAAATAAATAAAAGGCTGAAAGTGTCTTACAAGTTTTAGATTGGCTATATTGTACGTGCGTATATAACGAAATAAAGTAGGTACAGTCTATCTACAAATACCTCGAACCACGTGAATAAATTATACTATATAAAAAATATGTACAAATAAAAGTTCCTTTCAGATTTCCACGAGGCTTATTAATGTTTAAAAAACGAAATCTCGTAAACTCGAAATTCAATCGATCACTATGACCTAACACGCAGGTAATTTTATAGCCGGATTCATCGACAGATAGTGCCGTGCACCCGTGCGACCTTTATATACGCGAGTGTGTCGACAGGCCTTTGTAATCGCGGTATCGACGTTCACTGACCGCGCAGATCAAGACGGTGGGTGTGACATATTGTGTCCAGTCGGACCGATCTCCGGCTTTTGGACGCGACACGACACAGAGGGAGCGACGTGTCGTGTCCACAACAATATGACACGAACCCGGCTCGACGCGCGGACAAGAAAATAACGCGATCGTTTACCTTGGCGGTCATCATCGGCGTGCGGTCGTCGACGATTGGCCGGTTCGGCGGTCACGTGGGACGAGATACAGACCGTCAGCTGCAGCCGCCGTGGGACGTCTTGGTATCTACACGCGGCGTGGACGTTCGTGTGCGTCGGAAGACCGCGACTGAGCGAACGACGGTGACGACGGCGGACGACGGTGGTTATCACTTGAACGTCTCAAACGGTCGGAAGCGCACGAGTGTTGCGGATCGTGTGGCGGCCGGCGTTATATATAGGTGCGCGCCGCGCGGTCGACGGACGCCGGAGCGGCCGGCCAAAAAGAGTGTGCCGCGTGCGGCCTTCCGAGCCGCCCAAGAACAATGACGAATTGATAATAACGCGAACGATGCGTACAATGATGTCACTCACCGCGACGACCTTTTCGCGCCGTTTACGACGCCGTCACGAAGGGTCGACTCGGAGCGCGCGCACAATAGACGCCGGTGACGTAGTCGCACGCGACGCGCCGTCGTTCGTCAGGTGCCTGGTTGGGCGGCGGCGGCGAGGAATCGGTTCGCTCTGTGAAAAGCGCGACGGTAGCGAGTTAGAGCCTTGAGCGGATGACTGCCGCCGCGAGTCATACCCATTATGTCATATTATTATTAAGTATTATTATTATTATTATTGTCGTCGTCGTCGCCCTCGCGTATACCGGAGAAGTCTCGGGCAATTTTGCGCCACCGGACGAGACGAACGGAAAAAAAAAAAAAAACCAGTCACCGCAGACGATAACATTTAGGTGTGTATAATATATAATGCAAGTCGTCTCGAGGACTTGGCCGCCGTCTGTCAGTCACTATCACGTGCGACGGCCTTCAGCTCCCGTCAAACCGCAATTGCGACTACTCAACGCCACGCCATCCACATAAGGAATAGCGTAATACCGTAAATGCGCGTGTGTGTTCACGTTTTATAGACACTACTATAGCAAAGATGAGCAAGTCAATGAAAATAATAAACCCAGGTTAGGTTACACGAGATCGATAAGTTAAAAGTCAATAGTTAACATATTATAAATTTAACTGGATATTAAGTTAAAATGTAAAATAGAAAAAAATATTAACTTAACTCGGTTTAAAAAAAAATTGATCCATTTTCTTTTAATTAGTAAGTAAATCACATAAAAAATGACTATGTCTTTCTAATTTACTAAATTATAAAAACAATTTTATTGAACTTTTATCTTGATGTACATTGTACAGTGTGTAAATACTCTTTTACTTTACATGATTTATTATTTATTAATTTAAACTACATACATCTCAAATTAATAATTAAATAAATATTATTGTTTTCACGAAATATTGTAATTAAAGGTCATAAAGCATTAAAAAAATACAATTCATTGTTCATAATTTTATTTAAAAAATGTCTAATATCAACTGCAAAAAGCTAAGTTATTTCAACTGTCAATTAAACTTCTTAAGTTCGTAAGTTGATTAGAAAATAAACTAACTAGTTAATGCCCACCTTTACATTATAGTGTATAGGTCACTAGGTCACTATATACTATATAGTAGTATCTACAGAGAAACGCGGACGTCTGTTCATACATTTTTAACAAAAGTTGCAGATTTCGTCCCATAAAATAATCCACTACAGTCCTGAGATTTTTACATACTTTTTATAGAAATGTCGTGTTCGCTTTTACTGTCCAATCAGCGTATTACGCGCCAACAAGTATTTCATTTAATATAAGTTATATCTACTGCATTATTTTGTATCGATAAAATGTATAATAAGAAATTAATGGAAAACAAATGACTGATAAATTTTTATATTTTTAATTTTTATTATTATCATTCAAATCGGAGTGTTTTTTTTAAGCTGTTTTAGTTTTGAAATAGTTATTTGTCATATTTATACAAATAAATGAAAAATAAAAATGTTTCTAAAATATGTACTTATTATTTGTCATTATTCATCATTAAAAAAGTATACCTACCTGATGACTGTTATAGACATACAATAATAATTTAAAGAATAAATAATAATGAATAATCTGTGACCTATGGTTTACTGATATTATTAAGTATAATACAGTGAGTGAATATCGCCTATAGGATTCCTTTATTAAAATTATAACTACAATGGTTCTTTTTAAAGTTTTAAAACTTTAAACAAGAATAACAAGTTTCCATTTCTATACGTCGGTTGTATTTTTGTATCTAGTATCTTGTTCATATTTTGTACATTATATCAAATAATTTAATAAGTGACAGTCTCACAATCAATAAATTGTTATATTTTCATTATATTCATCTAAAAAATTGTTATAAGGAAATCCGCATTTATATTAATATAATATTGACGATAACAATTTACGACTTTTTTTATATACAAATACCTATATTTGATTTTATCCTTTCACAATCCCGTCTGTAAAATATATTATAATTTAATCATTCATTGTTTTTGCTGTTCAAACTTTATAGTCACACTAAATAATTACTAATTATATTAAATAATTGATGGTAGCACAACCTGCATATATGTATATGTATCATAAAGCTAGATAATTTTAGGGTTAACCTGGCAGGCTATGGTCGGTTTTTACATTCCTAATATAACTACTATAAATACAGGGGCAAATAGTCGACGTAAAATATCATATATTTCTATAATACACGTAGTCTAATCGACTTTTGTCTTGGAACCACTCTAACTAGTTTAGTTAAACTTAGTTTGCAACCTTGGCGTTAAACGAATTATTAGGTTAATCTTTATAAAGTTAACTTATTGCGTGCAGGTGCATTTTATTTATGTACCGGTATGGAGAAAACTATTTGAGTGGCTGCGTCCCAATTAATAGAAGTTGGTAATTTGTATCCAACAATTAATTTTATTTCTGTATAATGAAATGTATTTATTTATTCATAACGACGTGCCTGCATTAATTCATATTATTATTTTGGTCTGTCTGTCAACGGCGCTATGATACTAACACAATGGTGACCATTATTGCTGTAATAAAACAGTAATATACCTACCGATACCGATAAACGCAAGCCAGATAACTTGCGACCAAGTATCCCGGGTTAGGGTAAGACGAGCATTATATTCGTCATTTATTTTGTAATATTGAAATTCAATAAACTTTTTCTGTATCAAAAACGTCTTACCACGATCAAATAGTAATGCACACACCCGTACGAGTAAGTACTAAACTGTCTAAACCACCTGTACAAATTATATTGTATAATTTCGTAATTGCGCGAGCGAAAGCTGCTGGCAATTTAAACAGTCAAACCCGAACAACGCCGTACAATATACGTACAATATTAGTATTTCAACGTTATTGTCTTTTCAGAGTGTTGAACAAACTGAATGTCCAGATAATGGATACACTCGGCTCGATTTCGGCATCGTTTCTGTCGGGGTTCTCCGTGTCTACCGCACGACTTGCGTACCTAGAAATATGTGACGTTTGCACAATGCTGACGAAAACGTTCCAAACACAATTGTTCATCAACATCGTGGGCAACGTGTTTGGCGTCACGTTCATGATGCTCTCCGCGTTTAACACGCTCATGTCCGACGGTGCAAACAACATCCGAATCACGCTGTACTTTCTTTATGAATCACTGATACGTACGCTGCAGATGTACTTCATCATTGACGCTTGCCATACGACCGTCGAACAGGTAAAAATCATATTATATTAAAACTTTGCAACAAAACAATGACCATAACGTACACAAGTCGCGTATAAATCGATCGACTTTATTTCCAGATACGCAAATCGCATCGTTTTACGCGAACGACTAGTATAATATTTGATTTACTTTTAATATAATTGTGCCACATGTGACAATAAAATGATTGGATAGGTATAATACGTATATGTTAATGTACATATAATGAATTATTATACCATACTGTGTGCGCCTGTCGTTTTGTTTAGGACCAGCAGCTGCCTGGGTTGAAAAATTCCTTGGAAAATATTATGCTAAATGTAGAATCGGATAATTTTACACTTTCAGCGAATTATGTACACGACGAAGCTGACATTTTAACAATATATTTAAACCGAAAAGACAAGAAATGAATCGACGAGTTCAAACGTCTGATTCGATGTTTTTCTAATACATAGAACAGAAACTTAAATTAGAGTAAAATAAGTTAGTTGCGCAGCTAAAATCGTGGGGTCATAACAAATTTATTTTTATTTTTAAGTACTACTAATATATTGTCAATATAATACACAAAATATTTTCCAAATATTTGTTTTATACTGGTATAATCAGCAGGGCTCGGAAATTCATACATTTGCATATCAATCTTGCCAAGTTGTATTTAATGTTAAATGATATAGAAATCCATTTCAAGGTATCATGGTAATATATGTGAAGTTTTATTTTGCATGTTTAGAAATGTTTATGCGTTTTGCTATTTTATCAGACATTTTCTTCAAAATTTTGATATTCCTATCATATTATGATGAAAAAAAAAAATACGATCATTTATCATTGAAATTTTGTTACAACATAAAATGATTAAAAATAAAATACTAGTAGTCATAAAGTAATCTTCATTCAGTTTATCAATGTAATGAAGTTAACTCAAGTTCACAAAAACTCACTAATATTTAAATTCTATTTATTTTTTTTATATATTCTTAAACTAAAAATAAAATATAACTTTTATAAAATTAATGGAAAATTCTTGTTATTTTGAAAAATTGTTAATGATATAATTTTTTTAATGAGTATATTTTAAATGCATAATTTTAGATTTTTAGTGCATATATTTGAACTTTTTAAGGTATATTTCAATAATGCATATTTTGCCAATTTTTAATGCATAAGTGCATGCTTATTAGGCTTTTTTTAGGACATAAACTTCCGAGCTCTGTTAATCTGTTATATAGTTTTGTATATTTTACAAGGCCACATACAAATTTAACTTGACTCTAAAAAAATGTTTTAAGTTTAAATAACTACTTCTCTCAAAGTTTGAACTTGTGTAGATATATATATTTTTTTATTTGTATATATGTAGGAAGAGAGGAAGAACGTTAAAATTTAATCTTGGCATTGAACGATGATTTTATTATAGACCTCGTTCCGGAACTATTTTATACGTGTTTAATATTTATAATTCCATTTTCAACGAAAATAATTCAATAAGAATTTATGTTAAAACACGAATTAAATAACAAATAAACTAAATCTATCTTCGCGTTCTAGTATACTACCTAAAAAGTATATTAATAGAACTTTTACAGCTGTATGGTTGATAATTTCAAAATTAATTTTTAATTATACAAAGAGAACGTAATTTATCTATTTATCGTATAAATATATCTTGTAAAAATATCGTTTTAATTTATATTTAACTTTCATAAAAATATTGACGCCTAGTGAAAATAATAATATTAATCTATTATACAGGCGAATATCATTAACATCACATTTCAGAAGAAAATTAATGAATATAATCAAGTAAATCTCATAAAAAAAAAGGTATGTAATATCATAAACTATAATATATAAAATAAATATTAATTTTTTTTTATTATTATTATTATTCTGCAGTAACTATAGAAAAATACAATATTACCATTCGAATCTCTCGTTTTCTAACGTCCCGTGCATTATTTTCATCGAACACAATACAATTTTCAAATTTTAAATTGTCAGACCATAAGTTGAAGTTGAGGCATACTTACAGGAGCTTAGCCTCTCCACAAAAAAATACTTTGAACCACCTTCCGTTAATTTTGTATCATCAGTTTGTATTATGTTATTAATAATATGCTAGTTTTGTCAGTTTTGGGTAAGGAATTTAGCATTTCATGAAATTCAAACAAATCTTCGGTAATGCGTCATTTTCTACTTATCTGAACCACCAAATAATACACAATATTATTCAAGAAACTATTGATTATCTATCCAAAATAAGATTTTTACCATTTTGAGTTAAAAAAAAAAAAAAAAAATTGAAAACATTTTTATTTAAAAGTTGAATTAATACTTTTTTTATTTGTATAGATACAATTATTCATTTTGGAGATGGTGGATCATAAAATAGAATTTGTTATTTATGGTTTTATTTGTCTGGACTTTGAAATGTTTGTATCGGTATGTCATTATACATTCTAGTATTAAAAAAAACAATTTCTATGAAATTTAGAATATTATAATTTCAGATAATCGGTACTATAGCTACGTATTTCCTAATTTTGGTTCAATTAGGATCTTCGCCTGACGTCTTGGTAAATACGTCAAATATAACGACAACAACAACACCCATTGTAACCAATAGAATATCAAAATAAATTACTATAATTTAAATTAAATAGTACAAATTCGTTAAAATTAATATTACTTTCAGTTTTATAATGTAAAGCTATTTTAAAATTTAAAAGACATATCATAATTACAAAATAAAACATGTTTATTTATCACGTTAACCATCTAGTCGGATGATATTTTTTCAATTTTGAAACAGTTTAATTTAAATAATGACGTTGATTTATTCAGTTTGATTTATCAAGTATAAAATTATATTATATTAAATATAAATGCAAACTCATACTTGTGCACATTTTTCACAATTTTAAAATACAACTATAGAATAACAAAAATGCAATAATGGTATACTTATAATAATAGGCACATTTTTATTACTATTAGGTATAATAATTTAGATTTTACTAAAATCTTTCTTAATATTAAATTACCTTTATAAATGCCAAAATAAATAGTTTTTCATATTTGTTTAACATTAACCTTAAGCCTAAAACTAAGAATATAATAATAATAACAAGGTTTTTAGATGTACTTTTCCAGGTTCATTGTTGAAGGTCGCAACTGCTATGGCATTATTACGTTTGACGTCTGTCCTTTGGTTAAAAACATAGGAAACTGTCAAACAGTGCTTATGATTTAACTATTGAAACCAAAAAACTTTCAAATATAGTTATATATCACGATCGTGATTTGTAAATAAAACAAAGACGCATGAATAATATTGTTATAAGCTTACCATTGAAATGGATTCAGATTAAAGTATTATATCAATGTAAAATTAAACAATAAAAGTGTATTGTAGTGTATATTATATTTATACTATCATTATTTTTTTTTAAATACAGCATATATCTGTCATAATTTTCATAATATATCTAGTTTATAAGTTATATGGTTTATATATGAGTTAAATTAATTAATAACTACAAAAATTGTTCTATAGACTACAATGTTGGTTTTTTAAAAATAATTTTTAGTTTCTAAAACTAGGTAAGTACTTCACATTTTACCATACAATACGTAAACTGTTGAAATTACTAGATTTTAAGTATACGTAGTTGAAACCGATTCGAATATTAAATTGTTCGAAAAAATAGGTACATAGATACTTACATACTTACCACACATTTAGTTTAATCAAAAACAAATAAATAAATATGGAACAGTATAATTTTAAGCGTTTTTATTTAATATAAACGCATACAAACAATAATATTATAATTATCATTAAGCTATAAAATACATAATAATACTGTTAGGGAGTTACAAATATGATTAATTGAATTTGAAACGCAATATATTTACCCGAAAAAACGATTAAGTATTCGTTTGTTTATAAATCTATTCTTAAACAAATCACGAGAAAGTATTATAAGTTTGAAGAAAATATAATTATGAACGAAACAATGACTATCAAAATAAAAACCATGTAAAGAAAATTTCCATATGTGAACAATTACGGGTTAAATAAATTAACCTTGGACTTAGCCAAAGTTAAAGCAAAAATGCATAATTCTAATTTAATGTGAAATAACACAAAATATAATTTAATAACTTATTAATTTTTAAGTTTAAAAGTATGTAGCAAATATGTGGATAAGAACTAAATGTTGCCTATTCACGTGTTGACAAACATAAAGATTTATTAATTTATGCAGAAAATAGTGAAACTAAAAATATTATTCACAAATTGGCATTGCAATAATAAAATTAATACTTGAATATTATTATCATTTAAATTTCATATCAAACGCCTAACATTTTGTAACTTAAAGAAATTATATGCTATGCTTAGCTGTACTGGAATCTGTGTGTGTATTATTATTAATTTAAATATTAAGTGTCTTACTAATAGGTATACGTATATTACGTTACACAGTTGCATTATTCAGTATATTGTGATATTATGTCAATTTAAATTATAAAGTATCACTATTAAGTATTTGTGGATCAAACGTTTTACGAGCGATTAACTTTGTTTTTTTTTATTCTTGTTATACATTATAATTTATAAGTAAACACCTATCGATACTGTACATGTGTACATATTATATAACTATAAGTATCTACTTTTAGTACCTTATTTTATTAATTTTACTAAATTAACACGTATTTCTTAGATTATTTGTGTAATTATCTCAAACATAAATAATTAGATACATTTTTACAAAAACTATGAAATAAATACTAAGTACACAAATACTTTGCGTTATTAATTTTATTACCCAAAAATTCATAATATTTGTGTTATTTTATTAATATTAAAAAAGTGTAAAACTACTTTTATTATGAACATTCGTAATGTAGTTTTTTATTATTTTAAATATAATTAATCATATTTATGAAAACTTATTTAAAGGTTGATTCTTCACCGGATAAAGGAGTTTTTATAGTTGTATAGGATTTATGCAGTTGTTCATCACTTTTTAACTGACGATTAAAAAATAAACAATCACTTTGTGGCACATACTTGTCCACCGTTTTCATAACTGTTTCCGGAAAATCCCCAGCTACCATTCTAGTTTATAAGATAAAAGTTGTATTAAAATGCAATGTGAAAAATAAAAATTATATTTTTATCTTACTGTATTATGTCTTCAGGAAAACAACAATTTACTGCCTTAATGACTTGAAATAATTCTGGATTTACATGTGGTTTAATATTTTGAATCATTTTCAAATGGCCATTAGTAATAAAACTTCGTCGAGCTTGAAGATTTTTAGGCAATATCTGTAAAATATTCAACAATAATAATTAAATTTGATTACCAATTTATATCCTTAAAAATAATGAGACAATGTTAATCGCATGTGTATCTTGCTTATTGATTTAAACATATATTTTAATAATATAAAAGGGTGCCTATACACATTATACATATAAAATTTTACCACATTTTCAAATCAAGAACTTAATTGTTTATAAAGTTATGACTATATCATTATATTTGCACAGTAAGAAAATTATATATTTATCTTAAGACACTTAGTAAATCGTAGATGTGATGATTGATAACATTAAATAAAACAAATTATATGTGATTTTATGTAACACACATAATTATAAATACATAAAATATACAAAATTAACTAAGAAATACTTTGCTTATTTTTTCAAGTATGAATATCATTATTTCGATAGGGACCGACGGTGTCAATAGTTTTTCTAAAACATTAAAATCATCACAATTTTTCAATATTTGTTCTAGAGCAACTATACATTTGTATTTGTTCTCGTTATCCAAATTTGAATCCATGTATACCTAAATAAAAAATGAAGATTTATTAATGCAATAAATTATTGTTTTTATCTTACATTCATGATATTGGTTAAACCATCACAAGAACAAATAGACCTCGCATGTTCAGCACTGTGTTGACCTATCATGCCTAATGTCCAAATAACCCCAGCTTTCGTCAACTTGTCTGCATCACTTTTTAAAATAGCAGTCAAATGCATCAATACCTTATATATAAATATATATGTATATATATAAATTTAATAAATTACTTCTATTTTGTACAATTAAACCAATAAAAAAATGCATTTAAACCTGAGACTGAATAATTTCTAATGCAAGTTTTGGTGACATTGCAGCAATATATCCCAATGCAAGTACAGCAGGATTAGGAGACAATTCTTGACTACACGAAATAACATTTAACAGCTTATCTATTCCACCACTATTAACAACCATTTGAGCGATCTATAAAAATAATAACTAATAAATTAATAATAATTAATAATAACTAGTGGATTTTTTATATGATTAAATAAGAATAATATAGTGGTAGCTTAAACGGTGTTTAATGAAACTTTTGTAAAATTGATTACAGATATATACGACATTAATACGCATTATAACTCTTACTTATAAACACAAGGTAATGCATTAAAAAAATATATCATATAAACAAATAGGATATTCTTCTTTTATGATAATAATGATTAATATAATTAGTATATTTATTATAATATGATATATTTATACAGTTAAACAAATTAAATAGTACCTATGGTAATATTATACCTGAACACTGTGTTTTACTACTTCGCGAATTACTTTAGCTGAATTGTTACGTATTGATTCGTCTGAATGCGCCATCAAAAGTAATATTTCTGGGAATAAATTCGACTCGATTGCATTTTCAGTTAAAAACAATGAATGCTTAACAATATTTTTTATCAATATCAATGCACTTTTCTAATAAAATTAAACAATTTGAAAAAAATAAATCAAAATATTATTATTATTATTATTGTGTAATTATATTATTTTTGTTGTATTTATGCAAATATTCATAATTTGTGTAAGCATTTTAAATAACTTAGGATATAATATATAATAGTATATATATATATATATGATAGGATTAAAATAAACTTTAGACTATACACAAACATACATTTGACCTTTAAAACACTAATTTTTAGTTTCAAAGGCATCATAATAGTTCATAAAATATACAACTTATTCCTGGTGTACTTTAAAGAAAAATAAACATTTATTGTTTAATATTCTTCTTTTTAACTCCTAATTTTAAAATTAAACATAATACTAGATTAATTCATATCAATATTTTCAGACATGATAGATTTTTTCGGAAGTTAATAAAACCAAATTTAAAAATCGATACTGAGTTAAAATTATTATGAACATTAGATTATAAAAAGTTATCAAAATAATATATTTTGAGAATAGTAGTAAAGTTTTGAATACATTAAAAAATCACTTATAACCATATTTATTAAAATATTTTTAGACATTAAATTTAATTTAATATATTTTATACATATTTTTATAGCAAATTTCACTTCATTTAATTCATTTAAAAAAATATTATTTTTAACAATTAGTCAAATTAATGTAATTATATGATTGAAAATAATCAATCAAAATAATTATAATAAAAATAAAAATAAAAATACATGAAATAAGATTGGAAAATATACCTGAACTTTTTTATCAACAAAGTTAGGCATTAAAAAAAATATCACATGAGGTAGAGTTGGTACATCCACAAT